ATATATTATATATATATATATATATATATATATATATATATATATTATATATGTGTGTGTGTGTGTGTGTGTGTGTGTGTGTGTGTGTGTGTGTGTGTGTGTGTGTGTAATATATATATATATATATATATATATATATATATATATAATATATATATATATATATATATATATATATATATATATATATATATATATATATTCATATATATATATATAGGTCATAAAAGTGATTGTTCAACGGACGTCAAACCCTTTGATAAGTGGTAAAACGAATCCTTGGAAGAAAACGTTTCACGACCTTTAGGAAAACAATTCACGAATGGAAATTCCAATAGCATTGTAAATGGAAAGAATGGGTTAAGTTCGCTTTGCGCCAACGAATGTCTAAGAGCATGATGAAGCAGATGTGAATTTTTTTCTTAGCATGAGCTTGCTAATTTATGTAAAAGAGAAAGAAAAAAGAAGCTCTAGTCTATTTTCGTCAAGCAGGATATACATATATTTAATATTTGAAAACATATATGTGAATATTAATATTATGAAATGTAAGGATTCCTGTATAAACACGCGAACACACACACACACACACACACACACACACACACACACACACACACACACACACACACACACACAAGAACAGGCATTTTGCATATTGCCTTTAATTTTCAAATGTATTGTCGTGACAAACGGAAGTACCAGTCAAACAATTCAATCTTTATTTCAGCTTCATGTCAATTTTTAAAATCTGAACCAATAGCTTTAACTCTGTAAAACAGAAATGAGACATTGTGGTCATAGTAAAAAAAAGTAAATTAGGGTTCTATGCAAAAAAAAAAAAAAAAAAAAAAAAACAAGCAGAAATTACCATACATCAACGTTATCTAAACTTCTGAGAACCTTAAATCGCGTCAGACAAAATTTTAATTTTGATTTGCGTTCTTCCACATCGTTACGACATTGCCTTTACTTATTTATGCAACGCTTTTGCGAAAGCTATATTAGATTACGAAATCCTTAGAGGAAAAATGTCATTAGGCTATTTATAAGGAAAAGTGGAATGATCTCAAGTCAACTGTGGCAGTGGAGTATATGTATGCTTGTCACCACCTCAAAGAGGCTAAATGAAATGCATTTTGTTAAAAAAAGTGATGTGAGGAGAGAATGAAAGCGAAATTATCTTTAATATTATTACTTCGTCGAACAGTTCGGTGTCCATAACTCTCCATTACTCAAGGAGAGACGCTCTTGGTCACGCTCTTGTGCAGCAGAGATCATAGGGTAGGTCACGCTGGCTCTTGACCTTTGGCTTGACGCTCCCTCTCAAAGGCCATTGAGGCAGTGCTGTATATTTTTTTTTTTCGCTTTGTCTCTGTTCCTGTTATTTACTGATACATGGACTCTTGGCTCAGGATATTTATTTATGTATGATGATCACAGATTTTTATCTATGTTGTCTTAGAAATCAAATAAGTATTAAAGTTTATTTAGCATGCATATTACTAGTCAAGGATGTGAGCATATCATTTTGAGGATGTACGTTTTTGCAGTCATGTGACTCAGGACATTTGTTCATTGTAATATATATATGTATGGATCATTAATTCTTCTTATGTTAATCATAATATTCAGAATTCGGATTTTGTTAGCAAATTACTGAAACTATTATTTAAATAGTATTAAATTTGATGACCAAGTGCTCGGACCTTAATTGATATTTCAATAAAAGTATTAGACTACACAGAAGACTTATTGCTTAACCTTTTATCGATAAAGACTAAATGGTTGAATGAAGACCACTCAAGAAGCACTGCGAACCTCCAGGCTCACAGGGGCTGCAACAGCATCTCGAGCACAGGACAAGAGAGCGCCAAGGAACAGTCGAAACCACAATTCTCTGAGCTTTAGGACCAGACGGAATCTTAAAGGATGCTGCGTCGCGCCTGCAGAATGCATACCATGCTGCGGGTGTCTTCGCGGCGGTTATTCAGGGCGACACCGATTGTGGTGTGTGCATGTGTGTGTGGTGTGTGTGTATTCTTCTAGAGCTCAGTCCTACGATAAATCCTCTTTGGCATCCTTTTTCTCCATGGCACTCTATTCACTCCCTTTTACACGAGATGTCGGCCATAAATACAAGGGAAAGACCAATAAGGGTTTTCCGTCGCTTTCCCTGACAGTGGTTTTATTGAGACAGGATTGCCAACCAAGGCTCAAGAGTCCCCTCAACGCTGATTTCTATTGCCCCATGGAAGGGACCTCGACAGTTGCTCCACTCTGGGTCGGAGTGGACCTGGGAGCAACACACACACGCACTCGCGTATATATATATATATATATATATATATATTATATATATATATATATATATATATATATATAATATATATATAATATATATATCTGTGTGGTGTGTGTGTGTGTGTGTGTGGTGTGTGTTTGTGTGCACATACAAATATATCTTATCTATCTATATTTATGTGTATATATATATATATTGTCAAAAATTGACGGAAAAAGTGCTAGTGTGACGGCACCTTAACACCTCTCTGGTCATTGCTGTCTTTCCGTCGCTTTGGAAGCATGATATAGAAACACCAGTTTTCAAGTCGGGGGATATAAACGATGTGAATAATTATTGCCATATTACCATACTCCCTATATTATCCAAAAATCTTGAAAAAAATGTAGCAAATCAACTGACGTGTTTTCTGGAGTCCAATAACTTATTATCTAAAACGTAACATGGTTTTAGATATAGGATATCTACTGAAACAGCTTTACTACAAATTACTGATGAGATTTATAATAACATAGACAAAAATCAGGTAAATTTGCTCACATTATGCGACCTTTCTAAGGCTTTTGATAGTATCAACCATGAAAGACTCCTTAACAAATTAGTAAATAATAACTGATACATTTTGGTTTAAAGGTTATTTAAATACAAGGACCCAATCGGTAAGAATCAGTGATGGTATGTCATCAAAACATCAAGTACCTTTTGGTGTTCCGCAAGGGCCTATTTTGGGTCCGATCCTATTTACAATTTTCATTAAAGGTTTATCAACAATAGCCCATAACCGCCTTCTAGTGCAGTACGCCGATGATTCGCAGTTTCTTCATAGTGACTCAGTAAACAACTTAAATCCATTAATAAGAAACACAACATGCTCTTACACAAGCAAAATTATATTTTGGCACTATGGTCTTACACTTAACTAAATCCACATAAAACAATGTATATTTATAGGTAGCCGGCAGAACATAGCTAAAATCCCCAATGACACAACCATAGAATTTAAAGGCTGCTCTGTCAAACTGAACACCAGTGAATAATCTAGGAGTACACAGACAGATTCATGACATTGGAACCACATCTTGACAAAATACACAGGAAAGTAGTGGGCACCCTGGTATATCTTAATCACATAAGAAATCAAATCACTACTGACACTATAATCATGGTTGTGCAAATCCTAGTTTTATGCATAATTAACTATTGTTCAAATATTTAGGGTTCGACTAACAAAACACAGATGCAAAAAATACAAAAAATGCAAAACTTTTGCATTATGTAATATCAGTAAACTTGATCACATCACCCCGAAAATCCAAAAATTAGAATGGTTGAAAGTCCAAACTTAGTGAAGTTATGATACATGTGTATTCATTTACAAGCTCATTCACCAGAATTGTAAATAAATTATCTTTATGTGTTAAGAGATTGAATACCGATACAGGCGCACGGCAAATGGAAATACGTGGACCCAAGTTATGGAACATGCTACCAGATGATATGAGACATTAAAAGCTTCCGTAATTTCAAGACGAAATAAAAAAAAAACACCTCTTAAACAATCAGCTGTAAATATAAAAGTATTCATGTAAAGAATAACCGTTGTAATTTATTAATGTTTTGACTTTGACTTTGACTTTGTCTTTGTCAATGAATGAATCATTACACATCCTTTTCATACAGACAGACAAGGTCTCTGATGAAAGTGGTGCTATATTTGCAACACGTGAATCCCGTTTACGTCACGTCGGTCAGTGTAATCAAACTTACATCCTGAAACTCTTCCTGTTTGCGACCTTCGGTGTGTCACAAACGGGGAAAGGAGGGGGAGCTGGGTATGAGTGAGGTCGGATATGATGAAGTAGTTTTGTATATTCGACCCAAGAGTCAGATGGACACGCACCAACACGTAAGCACACGCACACAGACACCCACCTATGCAACCACACACACAGTGAGAGAGAGAGGGAAAAGAGAGAGAGAGAGAGAGAGAGAGAGAGAGAGAGAGAGAGAGGAGAGAGAGAAGAGAGAGAGAGAGAGAGAGAGGAGAGAGAGGAGAGAGGAGGGAGGGAGGAAGGGAGGGAGAGAGGAGAGAGGGAGAGAGAGAGAGGAGAGAGAGGGAAAGAGGAGAAGAGAGAGAGAGAGGGAAAGAGGAGAGGAGAGAGAAGGAGAGAGGAGAGGGAGAGAGGAAGAGAGAGAGAGTGGACAGAGAGAGGGAGAGAGAGGGAGAGAGAGAGACAGGGAGAGAGGAGAAAGAGAGAGAGAGAGAGAGAGAGAGAGGAGAGAGAGAGAAGAGAGAGAGAGAGAGAGAGAGAGAGAAGAGAGAGAGAGAGGGAGAGAGAGAGAGGAGAGAGAGAGAAGAGAGAGAGAGAGGAGAGAGAGAGAGAGAGAGAGAGAGAGAGAGAGAGAGAGAGAGATATATGTATATATAATATTATATATATATATATATATATATATATATATATATATATATATGTGTATATATACATATATATATATATATATATATATATATATACATATATATATATTATATATATATATATATATATATAGTATATATATATATATATATATTATTAATAATATATATATATATAGATAGAGATATAGAGAGAGAGAGAGAGAGAGAGAGAGAAGAGAGAAGAAAGAGAAAGAGAGAGAGAGGAGAGAGAGAGAGAGAGAGAGAGAGAGA